CGCGCCCGCGTAGATCGTCACGCGGTTGCCGATCGTCGGGTGACGCTTCCGCGGCCCGTGGACGATCCGCCCGTTGTCGTCCTTCTCGAACCGGCGGGCGCCGAGCGTGACGCCCTGGTAGATGCGCACGTGCTTGCCGATGACCGTCGTCTCGCCGATCACGACGCCGCCGCCGTGGTCGATGAAGAACGACTCGTCGATCGTCGCGCCGGGGTGGATGTCGATGCCCGTGCGCGAATGCGCCATCTCCTGGATGATCCGGGGCAGCAGCGGCACGTTGAGCTTGTACAGCACGTGCGCGATGCGGTGCGAGAAGATCGCGTCCACGCCCGGGTAGCAGATCACCGTCTCGTCCGTGTGATCGGCCGCGGGGTCGCCGTCGTACGCCGCCTGCACGTCCAGCGCGAGCAGGCGCCTGATCGTGGGCAGCGCGTCGAGGAACTGCGCCGTCAGCTCGCGCGCCCGCGCCCTGCATTCGGCGCTGTCGGCGAACTGCTCGCAGTCCTGGTGCGCGTCGTCGGAGGTGTAGCGCAGCACGCTCGCGATCTGCTCCTGCAGCTGGAGCGTGATCCGCGAGACCAGCTCCTCCACGTGCAGGCCGATGTTCTCCGGGGTGAGCCCGCGACGGCCGAAATAGCCGGGGAACATGAGCTTGCGGATCAGCTCGACCAGCTCCGCGACCGCCTCGCGGCTCGGGAGCAGGGCGTGGCCCAGGTGGCGCGTCCGCGGCTCGTCGAGGATGGACTCCACGAGCCGGTGGACCAGGTCCTTGCTCACCCCGTGGGGCGACGCCTGGCCGTTGTTCGATTGCGACGCGGGATCATTCACGGTGGCATCCTACCCCCGCGTGCCGTGCCGATCGCAGGCCCGAGGCACGACGCGCACGAAAAAGTCGCGTCGGGAGGCCCCGAAAACCCAGTCTGCGATTGTTCGAAACCCCATCAACAAAGGGGGCGCCATGATCCGGAACCGGGCCTTCCACTCGTCGGAGGCTTGACCGTCGTCCAGATACCCCGGCTCCCAGGGGTTTCTGAAAGGGTTTGAACAATCAACACAGACCGGGTTTTCAAGGGCCGCCCACCGCGACCTGTTTCGACTCTATCGCACCACGCCGGCCCGTCGAGTGAATTCCGGGTCATTTTCCGAAATCTTGCTCTCCCCTGTCCCGGCGCTCGGGAACCGTTCGCACACCCGGACGTCCGACAAGTCGAGGCCGGAACCCGGCGCGGGCCGAAATCGGGCCTGCGGCCCCCCGGTTTCGCGGATCGCCCGTTGACGCGGGCCCCCGGGCCAGCTACAAACGTTCTCCCAGTTCAAGGAGTCTCGACCATGCCCCGCCGACGCGCCCGCACGTTGCTCATCCTCTCCACCGCTGCCGTGATGCCCACGCTCATGGTCGGCTGCAGCAGCAACAGCAACTCCGCGCAGGCGTTCCGGGACGACCCGACGCCCATGCTCGACGCCCGGGGCGAGACCACCGACGACGTGGCCAACAACCTCGCCCACACCACCGATACCAACTACCGCAACCTCCTCAACGACCTGGGTCGCATGTTCTTCTCCGACCGCCCCTCCCGATTGACCGGCGGCCCGAAGCCTTATTGACCGAACCTCGGGATCCCCCCTGGGTTCCCCCCGGTCCCCCACCCCTCATCTGATTCGCGAAGCGCCGCCTAGAATGGCGGCTGTGTGCGTGTCCGCGCCGTGAGCCATCACCGGCGGGACCTCCCCGTCGTCCAGGCCAGCCAACGCGGAACCCCGATGCTGTCCAGCGCGATCACCTTCCCGTGGCGCTACGCGATGTCGTTCCTCCCGACACGCATGCCGCCCATGATCCGCCGGAACTACGGGTGGGAGCTGCTCAGCGCGCTCTTCCTCCCCGCCGCGATCGCGTGCGTCGAGGGCGAGGTCCTCGGGGTCATCGCGAAAAAAGCGTTCGACGCGCCGGATCTCGCCATCGCCGCCATCGCCGCGGCCCCCACGCTCTCGATGCTCACGAGCATCTTCTGGACGAGGATCATCCGCGGACGCGAGCGGGTCCGGCTGGTGAACACCCTGCAGCTCGTGTTCCTCGCGACCGTGCTGGGCATCGCGCTGGTGCCGGTGTCGCCGCTCGGCGTGGTGGGGCTCGTCGCGCTGGCGTACGCGGGCCGGATCGCGCTGACTGGGATCATCACCGCGCGATCCGATCTCTGGCGCGCCAACTACCCGCGGAACGCGCGCGGGCGCGTCACCGGCAAGCTCACCATCATCGTCACCATCGTCATCTCGACGACCGCGCTCATCGTGGCACGCGTCATGGACGCCGACGCGCTCAACGAAGCCACAGGGTTCCGGCTCGTCTACGGCGTCTCGTCCGTCGCCGGCCTCGCCGGCGTGTGGGCCTTCTCGCGCGTTCGCTGGCGCGGGCGCGCTGCCCACCTCGCGGCCGAGCGCCACCCGGACAACAACTCCGGCCCCTCGCTCGTCGGGCCCGGCGCGATGTGGCGCATCCTCTCCACCGACCGGCGCTACCGGCGCTTCATGATCGCGCAGTTCATCCTGGGCGTGCCCAACCTCGCCGCCCTGCCCATCGTCATCATCGGCATCGAAGAGCGATTCGGCCTCGGCTACCTCCCCACCATCGGCCTCACGAAGGTGCTCCCCGTCGTCGTGATGTCCCTCTTCGTCCCCTTCTGGGCGCACATCCTCGACCGCCTGCACATCGTGCACTTCCGTGTCTACCACGCGTGGACGTTCGTCTTCGCGAACCTTTTCATGGGACTGGGCCTGCTCTTCGGCGTGCTCGAGCTCGTCGTCCTCGCGCGCGTCGTCATCGGCGTCGCCCACGCCGGCGGGGTCCTCGCCTGGAATCACGGGCACCACGATTTCTCATCGCGCGAGATGGCCAGCATCTACATGGGCATCCACGTCACACTCACGGGCATCCGAGGCGCGTTCGCCCCGTTCCTGGGCACGCTCCTCTACGGCGCCTGGGCGCTCGATCTGCCCGGCTTCGTGAACATCCAGTGGAGCGGCCTCGGCGCGTGGACGTTCTTCATCCTGAGCGCCGTGAGCGTGTACGCGGCGGCGCTGTTCCTCCGCCTGCACGCCGAGACGCGCAAAGAAAAGCTCACGCCGAGCGAACTCGCGTGAGCTGAACACACAAATCTGTGGGATTTTAGGGCCGAATCAGCTCGACTTAGCGGCGGTCTTCTTGACCGTGTACATCCCGCGACCGGTTCTCTTGAAACGGGTGTCGGTGATGAGCGTCTGGTTGACGATGGTGCGGAAGTTGGGGGAGGTCGTCTTGTAGCCGGCTTCCTGCACCGCCTGGGCCGCCTGCGTGACGGACATGGTTTTGCTCTTGAGGAGCTTGGCGAGCGAATCGGCGAGGCTCGCCTCGTTGCGCGGGCGACGGCCGCGACGACCGCCGCCGGAACGGACACTCACGCCGAGCTCGGTCGCGTAGTCCTGAATCTGCTGCTCGATCTCGGCGAGCGAGGCCGCGATCTTGTCGCGCTTCTTCTCGAGGGCGCGCAGCTTGCGGGTGGCATCGCGCTCGCGCCGCTTGAGCTCGCGTTCCAGTTCGTCGGTCGAAACATTGCTGATCGTTTTCTGCGCCATGGGGGTCGCACTCCTGTCAAAACTCATGTGAAGTGAACACCGTGAACAAGCCTCACACAACGGCTGCCCGATGCTTGGTAGTCAACTCAGATTCGCCGCACGATACACCATCACACGCCTCGATCGTTCTGTGATCCGGCGCACGAATGCGACTTCAATACGAACTCTATAGTGAACGTGAGGAGGACGCAAGTCGAATTACGTTTGCATAACCTTGAATCGGGGGTGCGCGATACCCGCCAATCGTGACGCGAACTAATAATTACGAGCGCATGCGGAATCCGAGGCGGTCCATCAGACCGTCGAAGTGCTCGAGATCGTAAAACGAGAGCTCGATTCGGCCTTTCTTCCCGCTCGAATTCGCGCGTATCTTCACGCGCGTCCCCATATGCTCAGAGAGCTGGCGAGCCAGCTCCTCATGATGCGATGACGCGGCACGCGTATCCCCAGTATTCCCGTGGGAATTGATTTTCTTACGAGAAGCTTCCTGCTCCATCCGGCGAACAGACCAATTCTGGTCTGATGCGCGGCGTGCGAGCGAAACGATGTCCGGTGCGCTCGTTCCGTTCGATTCCAGGCCCGCGAGCGCCTTGCCGTGGCCGGCGCTGAGATCACCCTTTGCAATGAGTTCGCGGACCTCCTCGGGCAGTTCGGTGAGCCGCAGGAAGTTCGCCACGCTCGAGCGCTCGAGACCGACGTGCTTCGCGATCTCCGCCTGCGTCAGCCCGAAACGGTCCCGCAGCGTCCGCAGCGCGACCGCCCGCTCCATGGGGTTCAGCTCCTCGCGCTGGATGTTCTCGATCAGCGCCCACTCCGCCGCGGTGCGGTCGTCGATCTCCGTCTGCACCGCCGGGATCGTGTTGAGCCCCGCAAGTGTCGCGGCACGCCAGCGCCGCTCGCCCGCGATGAGCTCCCACGAGGCGCCCCCGTCCCCCCCGCTGTCGCGTGCGGGTCGTACGACGATCGGCTGCATGACGCCCGATTGCCGGATCGAGTCCGCCAGGCTTGTCAGGTCCGAGTCGTCGATCGACGTCCGGGGCTGAAACGGCGACGGGGCGATGGCGTCGAGCGCGAGCATCAGGAGGCGTCGATCGCTCGGATCTGTGTCGCGCGGCGCTTTCGGCGGCGTGTCTGACGCCGGCTTCTTCATTTCAATGTGCGTATTTTGTTCGGTATTCGGTTTGACCTGTGAATCGATTTTCACGGGTTCGCCGATGAGGGCGCTGAGACCCTTGCCCAGGCGTGGCTTGTTCCGTTTGCTCATGTTTCGCCCTTTCCGTGGCGACCGCGGTGGCGCGTCGGCATCCGCATGTTGGGTGTGATGGTCACTTTGTATACAATTTCTGGCGATGCCGCCATCGAAAACCATCGAAGTCATCGCCCGGGGCCTGCTCATGCACGAAGACTGCGTGCTCCTCTGCCGCTCGAAAAAGGGGGGCTACTGCTACCTCCCGGGTGGGCATGTCGATCCGGGCGAGCCCAGCGCGGACGCCTGCAAGCGTGAGATCCTCGAGGAAATCGGACTCGATGTGACGGTGGGGGCGTGCCTGCTTGTGAACGAGCTGATCTTCTCTCAGGACGGAAAGCCCAGGCACGAGATCACGACGGTGTTCCACGTGGAACACCCCTTCCCGGCATCCGCCGGCGGCTCGTCCCCCCACCGCTCGAGAGCCGTGAGGACCACATCGAGTTCGTCTGGGCACCCCTCGCGGCCGTGGTGGAGATGGATCTCCGCCCGGACTGCGTCCGCGCGTGGATCGCGTCCGGCGGGAAGGTTACCGGCTCGTCGGCTCCCGGCGCAGGCCCTACAGAGTGGCTTTCGACGCGGGAATCGTGATTCTTAGCGCAAGAACCGGGCATCCCGGGGAGTTCCGGACCCGATGTCGACTGGGCGCCACAAGTACGGCGTCCCGCCATCAGGACCGCGAAAGACACACGATGCCCCCCACCCACGACCCCAGCACGGATCGCTCGATGATCGACGCCCAGGGCAACGCCCCGGTCAACGATCGCACGCAGCGGCTGACCACGCTCGGCGTCCTCGCGGGGTCCATCGCGCACGAGGTCAACAATCTCCTCACGCCGGTCCTGAGCTACGCCCAGCTCGCCCTCCAGCACCCGGACGATCAGGAGTTGGCGGAAAAGGCCCTCTCCAAGGCCGTCGCCGGCACGGAGAAAGTGGGGCACATCATGTCCTCCCTCCTCGGGTTCGTCCGGGGCGAAGCGGAGGAGCGTGAGGCGCCGGTGGAGTTCTGCCTCCGCGAGGCCCTCAACTGCATGGCCCGGAGCCTGGACAAGGACAACATTGCCCTCGACCACGAGATCGAGCCGGAGCTTTCCGCTCGGATCTCCCCCATCGCCCTCCAACAGGTGCTGCTCAACCTGATCCTCAACGCCCGCGATGCCATCCTGCCCCAAAGAGGCTCGCTCGCGGTGCACGCGAAGCGTTCCACGTGGAACACGCCCGACGGGCGACCGAAGGCCGCGGTCGTCATCGAGGTCCGCGACTCCGGGTGCGGGATGGACGAGACCATGCTCGAGAACGCCTTCCTGCCCTTCGTGAGCAACCGCCACAACGCGGCCGACGGCGTCGGCACCGGGCTCGGCCTGCCGATCTGCAAGCAGCTCGTCGAGGAAGTGGGGGGGCGGATCGTCGCGACGAGCGAGCCGGGTGAGGGCACGACCTTCACCATCACGCTCGAGGAATCGCGCCCGACGTCCTCGCGTCAGGCCGCTTGACACGTCCAAGAGTTCGGTATATGTTTGGTATCTGGCCGGTGCAATGAATGCGCCGGCTCGTGTGTTGTTCTCTTCGGCTCGTTCGCGAGTAACCGTGCAGCGAGCGCGCCCATCCCATGTACGATCGAGAGCGAAAACACACCCATTGTCCAGATACGGAGTCCCCGATGAAACGAGAGATCTTCACCGCCGTTGCCGCCCTGTCCCTCCTCGGCGCCGGCGCGTCGTTCCTGCATGACGCCACCCCGACCGCGACCGCGCGACCGGCGAACGCGGAAACGACCTTCACCCTCGACCAGGTCCACTCGGGCGTCTTCTTCAAGATCCGCCACATGGGCGTGAGCAACTTCATGGGCCGCTTCAACGAGGTCGACGGCTCGTTCAACCTCGACTGGGACAACCCCTCCGCGTCGTTCATGGACATGACCGTCGTGGCCGGCTCGGTCGACTCCAACAACGCCAAGCGCGACGATCACCTCAAGTCCCCCGACTTCTTCAACGCCAAGCAGTTCCCGACGATGACCTTCGAGGGCACCAGCTTCACCGCGGTCGACGCGGAGACGATGAACATCACCGGGAACCTGACCTACCTGGGCCAGACGAAGCCCGTCACCATCACCGCCAACCTCGTCGAAGTCGGCGACACGCGACAGGGCTACAAGATGGGCGTCGACGCGACGTTCTCATTCAAGCGCACCGATTTCGGCGACGCGAAGTACATCGCCGAAGGCGGGCTTGGCGACGAGGTCGAGATAATGGCCTTCCTCGCCGGCGTCCGCGGCGAATAACACTCGCGGACCTTTGAAACGCACGACCCGAGCCCCCCATCTGAGCATGGGGGGCTTTTTTCATCCACACTGTCGAGCGACGCACCATGCCCATCGAAACACTCCTTCACGCTTTCGCGATCCCCGGCGCCGCGCTGCTCGCGTGGTGCCTTGTTCTGTGGCAGCCGTGGAGCGCGAAGAAGTGGGGGGGTGAACAGGAGCAGAAGAATCGGCGCACCGTCACGATCGTGCTCACCGCGCTCGGCGCGGGCGCCGCGTTCGCCTTCTCGCACCGCGCGATCGACGGGCGCTGGCCCGACGTCCCGCCCACGCTCACGACGAACGTCACCGCGTGGCTCTTCTGGCTCGGCCTGCTCGCGGCACTCGCGAGCCTGGCCGACGCGCTGCTCGCGCGCAAGCCGTGGGTGCGCCACGCGGCGCGGCTCGTCCCGTGCGCGATCGTCGGCGCGGTGCCCGTCCTCCTGCTTATGCAGGGCGAGCACTCGTGGTACTCGAGCGATTTTGCGCCGGGCCAGAAGTCCGGCCCGATGTGGATCGCTCTCGGGGCGCTCGTCGCGCTGCTTTCCTGGGCCGCGTTCACGCCCGGGAAAGATGACGAGGAGCGCTTGCAGTGGGTCGTCCCGCTCGGTGTGTACACGGGCCTGCTCGCGCCGACGATGGTGATGTGGTCCGTCGCGATCAACGCGCAGGTGCTCGGCGCCGCGTCGCTTGTTCTGGCTGCGGTGGGGGTGGTCACGCTCTGGCGCCCGCGCGCGAAGGCGTACGACGCCGTCGCCGGATTCGCGGTGCTCACCGCCGTCGCGACGATGACCGGCGCGTACCACTTCGCGGACCAGTACCCGCCCGTCGCGAGCGCGATCCTCGCGGCGGCCGCGCCGCTCGGGCTGTTCCTGACGCGCCTGCGCGTCTTCCGGCCGAAAGGACGGTACCTGCGCACGCTTGTCGCGACGGCCCTCGTCGGCCTGCCCGCGGCCGGGGCGCTGGGCGTGGGCGTGTGGGAGTACTTCAACTTCGGCGAGGACCCGTCCGAACTGGACGGCGGGATGTCGCAGGAAGAGATGTGGTACGGGGAGTGATCAGCGATCGTGCACGAGCTCGTGCGTGATCGAAGCGAACCATCCGAAGACCGCGCTCAATCCAAGCCCTATCGCGAACCACATGAACGGCGGGTAATAAAAAAAGTCATTCGGGAAAAAGCCCCCAGCGAACGTTGCGCCCGCGCTCACAACACCGCCCCAGAACGCCCAACGCATGGCGACGCGAGCCCGAGTTCGCCGGGGTCCCTTCATCAACACCATCAGCACGCCCAACATCACGATGATGAGCCCGTCCATGATCAGCACTTTGATCAAGAGCAGGACGATCTCGAACTCCCGTGGCCCCAGAATCCTGTTCTTCGTGGACGCCGGGATCGACGCGACGGTATCGATCACCAACAGCAGCGCGATCATTCGCCACGGGTGCGTCGCTTCCCACCTCGCCCGCGATCGGATGGCCTCTTCGACGCTTTCCCGTGTGTAGCGCCGCCCGCATTCCGGGCACGGTCCCGTCGTTTCGAGCCCCGAGAGCTCGTACTCGCAGAACGGGCACCGGGGCGTCCGGTCCACCGTCGGCTTCGCCTGTTCCAGGCCGGCACGCACCATGTCTCTCGCGGCCATCGATCGCATCAGCGATTGATACAGATCTCGCAGTGACGGACGCTCGTCCTTCGGCATCCAATCACCATAGCACCCGAATAGACTGATCCACCCCCATGCCCACCGCAACCGCCGCCCAACCCGACACCAACGCCCACACCCTCCAGTGCTTCGAGGTCTGGGGCGGGAATCATGCCGTGGACAACGGCGTGGCCATGCCCGGGCTCGACGCGTGGGTGTACTCCGAGCCGTATGAGCACGCGACGGGCGGGGGCGACGTGCACTACGTCAGCTCGTGCGCGACGGGCCGCATCACGCGGATCCTGCTCATGGACGTCGCGGGGCATGGCGAGGGGGCAGCGACGCTCGCGGTGCGCCTCCGCGACCTGATGCGGCGGTACGTGAACTACAGCAAGCAGACGGACTTCGTGAACGCGCTGAACCGCGAGTTCTTCCGCCGGTCCGAGGGCTACCGCTTCGCGACGGGCATCGCCGCGACGTTCTGGGGGCCGACGAACACGCTTAGCTTGTCCATCGCGGGCCACCCGCTCCCACTCCACTACCGCGCGAAGGCGAAGCAGTGGTCGCTCCTGTCTCCCGGAGACTCCGGCTCGGACGCCCGCAACCTGCCGCTCGGCGTCGACGAGGACGCGGCGTACGACGAGTTCTCCGTGAAGCTGGGCGTCGGCGACATCGTTCTGATGTACTCCGACGCGCTGATCGAGACGGACAACGGCGAGGGCCAGCTCCTGGGCGAGGGCGGCCTGCTCGACGTCGCGAAGACGCTCGACCCGACCGACCCCTCCGCGCTGATCACGAGGCTCCGCGAGGTCATCAACCCCGAGATCGACCGCCAGACGGACCAGGACGACGTCACCCTCCTCGCGCTGCGGTGCAACGGCAACGCACCGAAGGGCTCGCCGCTGCTGGGCATGCTGGGCGGCTGGCGCGTTGTGCGCGAATCGGCGAGGTCGCTGTTCAAGGGCGAACGAATGCCGCTCCCGGAGTTCACGGTGCCGACGATCTTCGGCGCGTTCAGCAAGAAGCTGAGCAAGCGCGGGGGCTGACAGCGCACCGGGAACAACCGCGCCCGTGAGGAAGCGGGCCAGAGGGGTGCCCCTCGCACATAGCTCGCGTCGACAACTTGGCACGCAACGGACCGCCGACCACCGCCGATCGGAGTGGGACCGCTTCGGCCCGACTCGCTGACGCTCGCGGTTGCTACCGCGCGACATAGCAGCCGCGAGCGGGAGCGAGCGGACCGTTGACCACCCGCAGCACGAAGACTACCGCAACCGTGAGGGAGCGGGCTGATGCGATAACGCTGCCCGCGCCCGCGTCTTGACTCGCTTCCGCTTGTTCAGCCAGCGATCGAGTGCCAGCAACGGCTTCAACACCCAGCGGAGCAGCCAGGGCATCATGGCAAGCATGAGCAGCATAAGCGGCATGCCAAAGAACGCCCTTGCTGGGAGCGGCGTCACCCACAGATGAAACGCCAGAAGGATGGCCATCACAATCGGGAACGACACGATCAGCGGGCGTACGTAGTGCCAGTGCTGACGCTTCTTGTCGTGCCAGTCGCAGACGATGCCGGGGTATCGCGTTTCGAAGATCGTTTTCAATGCATATAACTGAGCGCTCGAACTGAGTCGGATCTTTGCGGTACTCATATCGTCGAGGCGGAGCGCAAAGAAGTTCCGATCCTTCTCGCTGATCGCGCGGATTTCGTCATAGCGGAGGGGGCCGCCTCCGGTCTCCTCGAAAAACTCAAGGTTTGTCGCGGTGACTCGTGCGACCTCCTTGAGCATCGCACGTTGCAAGCACATGATGCTGACCGCCGCGTACACCCCACCAAACAAGATGCAGAGCGGTCCCCATTGCAGATTCCCAACGGCGACCAACGCGATTCCCGCAACGAAGAGAGCGAGCGAGACGGTGCACAGGAGATACGCGCCTCTCGGCGAGAGCATATTCCGCTGTCGGAATCCCGAAACCGATGCGTCGGGTTCTCGCAGTGTGAGGCGGACGGCGCGTTGCTGGGCTCGGAATGCAGCGAAGGCTTCGTGCATCGTGAGCGTGCATCCCAGCTGAGTCCGTTGTCTGAACGGTCCCGTGCGCCACATCACCGGCATCCATGCGACCGATGGGCTCCCTTCAGGATTGACCATGATGTGCACGTCCGTCCACGGGAAGAGCACGTCCTCGAGGATCTCGTGCCCCGGTGCTTCGCGGACGCGCAGGCCGCGGAGGGTGATGTCGCCTTTGATCTTGCCCACTGGGATTAGCGTACCGCGCGCGGTGGGCGGGTCATGTCCGAATTGGGCGGCTCCCGGGCCATCCACCAGCCCGGTCGCTCACGCTCCCGGTTGTCTTCGTGCTTCGGGCATCACCGTGTACCCGACTCGCCGCCGCTCGCGGCTGCTATCGCTGCCCCGCGCTCCGCTACCATGCCCACCATGAGCCAGACCGACACCAAGTCCCCCGAATCGAACGCGGAAGAAGAGTCGCCCCACCACCTCGAGCAGCAGCGGCGCGAGAACCGCGACGCCATCGCCGCGCTCGGGGTCAACCCCTACGGCGAGCGGTCGGACTTCACCGACGCGATCGTGGCGTGTGCCGAGGCGATCTCGTCGTACGACGCGGGGGCGGACGAGGAGTGGGGGGCCATCACCGCGGCCGCGAAGGAGGCGGCGAAGAAGGCGACGGACGAGGGAACCCACCCCCAGCCCCTCCCTCTGGGAGGGGGGGAAGAGGACCCGCGCCCGGTGCGGACGGTGGCGGGGCGGATCATGCTGCGTCGGCCGACGGGCAAGCTCGTGTGGCTCAACCTGCGGGACGACACGGGGGATATCCAGATCGCGATCTCCAAGCGTGACTGCGACGAGACGGGCTTCGAGATCGCCAAGGCGTGCGACCTGGGGGATATGCTCGTCGCGCGCGGGCCGGTGATGAAGACGCGGACGGGCGAGGTGACGATCTGGGCGAGCGAGGTGCGGATGGGCACGAAGTCACTCGCGCCGCCGCCCGAGAAGTTCAAGGGGCTCACGGACATCGAGCTGCGCTACCGGAAGCGCTACATCGATATGTACGCCAACCCGGAGACGATGCGCACGCTCACGATGCGCTCGAAGCTGATCGCGCAGATGCGCCGCTTCCTCGAGGGGCGCGGGTTCATCGAGGTCGAGACGCCCGTGCTCCAGTCGCTCGCCGGCGGCGCGGCCGCCCGCCCGTTCGTGACGCACATGAACGCGCTGGACATCGACCTGTTCATGCGCATCGCGCCGGAGCTGTACCTCAAGCGGCTGCTCGTGGGCGGGATGCCGAGGGTGTTCGAGTTCTCGCGCAACTTCCGCAACGAGGGCCTGAGCAAGCGTCACAACCCGGAGTTCACGTCGCTCGAGCTGTACCAGGCGTTCGGCGACTACGAGTCGATGCGCGAGATCACCGAGGGGCTCATCCGGGATGCCGCGGTGTTCTACGCCGAGCAGACCGGCAAGGACGCGTCCGCGCTGGCGTTCAACGACCTTGTGATCGACTACGTGAAGCCGTTCGACCGCGTCACGTTCGCCGAGCTGTTCGAGAAAGCGCTCGGCTTCCCGATGACGGACCACGCGAAGGCCGTGGCGGAGGCGGAGAAGCGCGGGCTCAAGACGAAGAACGAGGCGGGCGTCGCGCTGGACCCGATCCTGATCGTGAACGAGCTGTTCGAGGAAGTGGCCGAGCCGACGATCGACCCGTCGCGCCCGACGTTCGTCTTCGATTACCCCGCGGCCCTCTCGCCGCTCACGCGCCCGAAGGCGGACGACCCGACGATCGCCGAGCGATGGGACATCTTCATCGGCGGCATGGAGATCGGCCCGGCGTACACGGAGCTGAACGACCCGGACATCCAGGAGGCGAAGTTCCGCGAGCAGCTCGCGGGCATCGACGACGAGGAATCGACGTTCCGCACCTTCGACGAGGACTTCGTCAACGCGCTGAAGGTGGGCATGCCCCCCGCGGGCGGGATGGGCGTGGGCATCGATCGGTTGTGCATGCTGCTGATGAACCAGCCGACGATCCGGGACGTGCTGCTGTTCCCGTTCATGCGTCCGGAGTGACCGCGTCCCGATCTCGCCGGGCCTGCGCGGCGCGGCGAGGAAAATCGCTTCATCGCTGCGTTCCACAGATGTGTTGATCTTCGCCCCGAACCGGCCGGCGAGGGATCAAATGCGCCTTTCCCTGCATTCATGAGGGTTTTAGGCACCTGGGCAGCACTGAAATCGGGTGATTTTGCTCGGCATTTCGAGCGGTTCGGTGTACGGTAGAGGGAGGTCCACAGACCCTTATTCCGTCACTGTCCGACACTGGAGATCACCGCATGCCCCGTACAGCCGCCCTGATGGGTTCTCTGGCCGCGTTGTCGCTCGCCGCGACCGCCGGAGCCCAGTTCAATTACACCGACGTGACCGCCTCGAACCTCGTCCTTGGCGACATCGACGCCAACGACACGCAGGAGAAGGACTTCGACTCCGCGGACTTCGACCGCGACGGGTTCGAGGACGTCGTGCTCGTCCGCAAGCGCCGCTTCTCGAACGCGGGCGCCCGGACGGATTACCTCCTGATGAACCGCAACGGGACACTGATCAACCAGACCGCGGCGTTCGCCCCCGAATTCCTGACGCTCCCGACCGACGCCCGCGACGTGCGCGTCGTCGACGTCGACCAGGACGGGTGGATGGACATCTTCATCATCAACACGTTCGGCGAGCAGCCGGTGCTGTACGTGAACCAGGGCGAGGACGGCAACGGCGACTGGCTCGGCTTCGTGAACGAGTCGAACCGCCTCCCGGCGGTCACCTCCCTCGGCCCGCTGCAGTTCTGCGGCGGCTGGTCGGGCGACTTGACGGGCAACGGCTTCCCCGACCTGTACATGATCAACTACAACCCCGCCGGCCCGACGACGGACGTGCTCCTGATCAACGACGGCACGGGCAACTTCACCCAGGAGAACAACCGCCTTTCCGGCCCGATGGGTGACTTCGCGCGTTCGGCCTTCGGCACGGACGTCGAGTTCCACGACATGGACGCCGACGGCGACACCGACATCGTCAAGCTCACGACGCTCTTCGACGTGTCGCCGTTCGACGACCGCGGCGTGTTCATCCTCTACAACAACGGCAGCGGCTTCTTCAACACCCGCCCGTTCCAGGAGATCTCCAACCGGTTCGACCCGTACATGTTCGAGCTGGGCGATTTCAACGGCGACGGCAAGATGGACTTCTACGTCGCGACCGACACCCAGGACTCGTGGCGCATGTCGAGCACGCTCGTCGCGGACGGCCCGATCTCGTGGGGCGCGGTCCAGAACACGACCACCAGCGCGCTGAACGGCTTCGGCGGCAACGTCCACGTCGGCGACCTCGACACCGACGGCGACATGGACGTGATGGTCTCGCCCATCGACACCGACATCCAGAACTGCGAATCCGGCGGGCGCACCGTGCTCCTGGAGAACCTCGGCCTCGCCACCGGCAGCCTGCAGAACGCCGACCCCCCCGGCAACGAGATCTGGAGCGACGAGTCCTTCGACTTCCAGTTCTTCGACCTCAACAACGACAACCGCGTCGATATCCTCCTCGGCAACTGCACCGGCTACCGCCTCATCCAGCAGGCCGGCGTCCCCTGCCCGGGCGACTGCGACGGCAACTTCGAGGTCAATTTCAACGACCTCATCTGCATGCTCTTCGAGTTCGGCAACACCAACGCCGACGCCGACTGCGATTCCGACGGCACGGTCGACTTCAACGACCTCGTGTGCGCCCTGTTCGTCTTCGGGCCCTGCCCGTAAGACGTCCGGCGCAATCTCTGTAAGAAGAAACGGGCCGGCCGCGCACGAGCGCGGCCGGCCTTTTTCGTGCGCCGCCGGGCCCCGGGCACGACAAACGCCCCGCGCGGGGCGGGGCGTCGTGACGCGTTCGGCCCTCTGCCCGAATCAGCCGAGGCGCCGGCGTCGCGCGATCGCGAGCGTCCCGAGGGAGGCCAGCGCGACCGCGCCAGGGGTGGGGATCGCGGTGATCTGGCGGGC